ATAACATTTTTGATAACTGTAGGAAAATAGTTTTAAAAGAAATGGGAATGCAATTCCCATTTACAATGCTTACAAAATTTTAGCCTTTTACCTTCAGTGGTTCCCGAGATACAGATTTACCCGAAAAACTTTCACGGGGCCGTACGTGTTACCCGCGGGTACGGGAAGGCTGAAATTAAATTTTTCGCGTCACCCGTTAGCGGGGAACACTACACTAAAATTTCAGCCGCCTAGCTTTTGTGGTTGCCGAGTTGAAAGTGCGGAACAAAATGTGGGACACATACACAGCACAAAACGCATAAAAAGTGAATGGGGGTATTGAAATATTTGTAATTGGTAAGAAATGTTTCAGTTTATTAAGTCGTTACCACAATTGGACCTCGTCAGTACGACGACTGTGGTAACAACGATATTTAGATGGTTTAGTATAGTATACAAATTTTTAAGATAAAAACAAAGACAAGAAAGTGAAGAAATAGAAGACAGAAAGAGAAATGGTTAAGACACGAAAAAGTTATAAAATTGTAAATTGTTACCTGCTCAGTGTTTGTCGGATCCATATGTTTGTCGGATCATAACAATAAATTGAAATATTCTGTAATAAATGATTTGCATTGCTCATGTTTGTATTTATACCTAAGCATTAAAGTGTATACAAAGGATGAAAAGCATGATATTAAAAAGTGAAGTGAATGATTTTAAAACGCAAGATGAGATAAAGTGAACAATAGTATAAAGTGAAGCGGGTAACATTATAATATTATTTGAAATTCTGTATGAATATGTTACGTTAAATAAACTTAAAATAAACTTAATAATATCATACGCGTGAATTAATGTGGTTTATAAAAAATTCTTTAAAAAAATTTTTTCTTAAAAAATTTTTTATATATAATTTTTATAGGGTGTCGAGTTTAAGTTATATCTGTATATCAAAGTGAAATAAAACAAAATGAAATAATACATGGTTAATAGTTTTGTATGCATTATTATTTAAGAAAAAAAGGAAGAAGAAAGAGGAAAAAAAGAGGAAGGAAAAGGGTGGATAGAGCTGTGGTGTAATCGATTGGGTGATGAATGTGTGTGACCTTAAGTGCATATGTGGGGAGGAAGGGTAGATCGGGTAGGGCATTTTAGGTAAATGGTTATAATTAGGACTGTAATAAGTAAATAAATAAAAATGTAATTCTAGGAAGTAAAAATATATCAAGTAAAATAATAACAAAATAATATATTAAAATAATAATAAAACAGGTGTTTAAAGTTGAAGTAATATTTATTTTTAATTTTTATTTAAAACAGTGACAAATACTGGTTGTTGAATAATCATTTAGTAGTTAGTATAAAATAGTTTACATGACACTGAGGACTAATTGTAGAAATAAGTTATTACTGTAGAAATAAGTTATTAAAAATGTTTGTATTTGGATAAAAATATTTAGAGAAGTCGAATCTCAACGGAAAAAGGAAGATCGGCACATTTTATAAAGTTTATAACTCTGGAATCCACGATTTTTTTACGTTTCTAATAAAGTTTGTGCATTTCTTATAAACCCGTCTATATTAGACTCAATTCGTAGAAATCGTAGTAATTGACTATACAAAATATTATAATGAACATTAGCATGAATATTACTGTCTGGATATACTTACTAACTGTAAAATTAAACTTATTGATTTTATTATACAAAGTTGTACTTATTTCTCCTCCATTAGTACTTTGGAATGTTTTTTGCAGGGAATTCACAACGTTACCGCAACCATTTATTTCTAATTCCAATTCTTCCTCATAAATAGAAGCTGTAATGTTTGTGAAGTTTTCTATGTATATAAAAAGTAAATCATCAACGTATCGACACATAAATAATCGTGGATTGATATTTATTAAAGAATATCCATATTTTAAAATAGCCAAAGTAAAGTGAGCAATATTCGAGCTAGCATTACCTCCCATGGGTACCCCTTTTATTTGTTTAATTATTCTACCCAAACATCGAATATACGATTCAGTAACGACGCAGTAAATCATAAAATATCTCCCAGCAGTATAAGTTTTATATTGGTTTAACTGTGATGTAAATTCTATATAAAAAACGTTTTATAACCTACAGCTAAACAGTCTCGTCTGGAATTTTTAAGCATACTTCACATAGAAATTTTAAACAACTGTAAATTATACTGTGTGATAGGGTTTTGAAAATAGTATAGAATAGTCAGCCGTACTTAGTAGGTTAGCATTAGGGTGTGTCCTAACGTAGTCTATAGCTTTATAAGAATTATTTATAATGAAGAAAGTACTCCGTCCAGTTTTATTATATATGACGCGGAAAAATTGTAAGATTTGTAAGAATGAGTGCGGAAAAATTGTAAGATTCGATGAAGCAATTGTGCTAAAGGTTTCATATTGGAAAAAGTGGCGGCTGTAATAAAACAAAATTTATAAGGAGTTTTATGTAATTTAGGAATTGCATAAGGAAAAGGAAACACCTCATTATTTTCATCTAATTCAATTTGGAACCGATTACATATGTTGATATGTCTTATAATAAGCACGCATTTATTTCCAGCATCATGTTTAATGAGATCACAGCTAATTCCTAGTTCCGAAGATAGTACTCCAATAAAAAGTCTTTAACTGATAAAAGCGTAATG